GGTTCGTCTGAAGGTATCTCTTGGCTAAATTAGATGAACATGGAGGGCGCGATAGAAGACATCGAATTCAACACACCGAACAACCAACAAGCCGAGAAGAAAGCCAGAAGAAAAAAAAAGGTATCAACTGTGATGCACGTCCATGCCGCGCTGCAGCGAGGATTCCAAGTCATTAGGGTTGTAGCCACCGCCAGCGGTAGCCTCCTGAGGTCTAGGATCCTCGGTCTTCCAAGGACCCTGTTGGTTATCCGGAATGGGGATGTTAGTCTGCTGAGCGATCTGCTGCTGCTGGGCGGCGTGGGCCTGCGATTGCTGGCGGACGGTCGCACGGAAGCGGATGACCTCGTCGAGGATCATCTTACGCATGTCGGGGACTTCGTCAACAACCTCGAAGTGGAAATCGAAGGTCGTGGGGCAGTTTGGCTCGTCGGAGGCGTCGTGCCAAATGTGCAAGTAGGGGTGCTCGAGGGCCTCCTCGACAGAGATACGAGACGACGGATCGAATGCCAGCATGCGGTCCAACAGGTCCAACGCATCGGGGTTGGCTTGAGGGAACAGCTGCTTGAAGGCTACCTTGGGCATGAAGGGCAAGTTGCGCACGTATTCTTGTGCGCGAGGGGAACCAATGCGTGCCAGGGTTTCTTCGTTCGGTGTGCCCAGGTAGTGCAGGATCTGGTTCAGCTGGTCGACGTAGTCGCGACCCTTGAAGAAGGGCCGGCCGCCGAGGAGCTCGGCAAGGATGCAGCCAACGGACCAGACGTCAACTGTAGATGTGGGGTTAGCGGGGCCTGCTTGGGTGGCAAATTGCGGTGTGGTATTACGTACTTGCTTTGGTATAACTCTGGAAGCTCAACATGATCTCGGGCGCACGGTACCATCTGGTTGCGACGTACTCGGTCATGTAGCCTGCATTCTCCTCTGGATCAATGGAGAAACCACGAGCCAGGCCAAAGTCACAAATCTTGAGTTCGCAGTCGGCATTGACCAGCAGGTTACCGGGTTTGAGATCACGATGCAGGACGTTGGCCGAGTGGATGTACTTGAGACCACAGAGGATCTGGTAGATGAAAGATTGGAAGTGGGCATCGGTCAACGGCTGGCCGGAGCGGATGATAGCAGCCAGGTCACATTCCATCAACTCTGGCAGGATTATCAGTCCGGCTCTATTTTAACGCAAAAAAAATTTCAGAACGGCACCTACCCTCATAGAGATATGTTTCGTTAAAGTTGTCCGGTCGGGGAATATCCATATCGTACAGACATGTGATCTGGAGGGCTGCGTTAGCGGGTGTAGGCATCGATAAGGATGATCTGCGGCCTACATTGCGATGGCCACGGAAATGCTGGAGCAGCTTGATCTCTCGCAAAGCCCGCTTGGCCAGGATCTTCTTGCTGAAGACATTGGTGACCTTCTTGACGGCGACGCCCTCGCCGGTCTGGACGTTGGTTGCGGCGCTTGGGACTGGTCAGCACATGTGTATCTCCAGTGTCCGCCAGTGTCCACACTTGCTGTCTGGGATACCTACCACACGATACCATAGGCTCCCTGGCCAAGCTCCTTTGTTACATTGTATTGCTCGCTCACGATAAAGTCCTGGTTGAAAACCTTGAAGACCTTGCGACCTTGTAAATCAGCCATGGCGAGTTGTCGCGTCGTAGAGTCGTAGAATGTTAGAGGGAAGGCAAGGCGATGAGAGAAAAAAAAATTGAATAAACGAAGGTCCAGAGTCTTAAAAAAGCAAAAAGAGAGAGGTTGAAGAGGAAAAAAAAGGGTGATGGGTCGAGAGAAGTGTGATGGGATTCAGCCCCGCAGTCCCCGCGGGTGATCCACGCAAAAAGTGTTTAGTCCACTCTGGTTGTCTGGTTGTTTCGGGCTTCTGCTTTGACTGAGATTTGATTCAAAGAACTTTCTAAATTTAATCGTAGAACGTGATCTAGTGTCGAAGACTTGGAATTCTGGAATTTCCAACATCGATTTCGCTGTGAAAGGGTACAAGGGTGGAATAGAAGGCATTTCTTTGTATACCATCTCCTTACACTACAGCATCATGGCATCTTAAGTAACTATAACCTACATATGTACCCAAGCATCTACATCTGACCTCGAAAAGAAAAAAAAAAGGTTCGATTCACGAACAAAGAACATGGCTGAAACCTGTCTTTCCATGTGTAGAGTGGATATCAACTCTGTATTTTGGTGTTACAGGTGCCAGTGGCCGGTAAAACAAAATGTGAGACAAGCCTTCACGAGGAGTTCTAGCATCGAGGGAGATTAAATCCCAAGTGACAAATGGGATCTTATTGAATTCCGTTCGTGTTTAATTGATATATCAGGGAGGTTGGAGTAAAATAGTAAAATACCAAAGACAGAAGAAAAAGGAGTACGAAAAAAAAAAGAAAAATAGGTTCTGCCATAGGAACCCGCCCTGAGATCGGACAGATCCGATCCAGCCCTATCTTGTCGGTTGGACTAGACGTCAATAATCTCACAAATGCCTTGCCTTTTGGTTCGGATTCATTGAAGGCAAGAATTTATCTATTCTTCGTTCCCTTTTCCTCGAGCTCAGCTTCATGAAATCAGGTTCTTGATAGCAAACCCGCTTATCAGGGAGTTTACAAAGGCCGATGAACGCTTTCGCCATCAGGGCTAATTTGCTAAGCGTCAACCAGTGCATAGTGGTTACGCCCTGCGAGAGAGAGAGAATGGTCCTCAGTGTAGAGCAACAGAAATGTGGTAGGCAGGTTTAGAGGTAATCCCTTGCCTCTGAAGCAGGTCGTACCAATCACCCTCCTGATGTTGTTGCGGAACTCATTGAGAAGCAAACAGACATTCCCATCCCCGAAGAGAACGCAATGGCATGCCTTTTGGCACCTCGACTGGTAGCGAGGTTTTTGTCACCACCAAGATCCTTTCGTAGGTAAGGAATTCCGGATTTTGTAGTACGCCTACCATCATGAAATCTATCTGCGTGTATTTGGGCCACTTCTCTTTTTTCTTTTGGAAAATTAACGTATCGTTGCCTCCCTCTTTCGCGGAGGGAAAAGGCCATTTCAAATTCTCGTGCACACTTCTTTTGTATTCCCTCGTGAGACAAACCTCGCTTCATAGCCGAGGTCCTTTTTCCGTGAGCAAGGAACCTTTTCCTCCTTTTATAACCCCAAGTATAGAAAGGATCCTCTACATTAAGTTGTTGGATTGTGAGGAAGACTTCTTAGGCTACATGGAGTCGATGGAAAGAAGTAGGGCTAACAACAACACAGCTGATCATAAGAACTAAAAGTGCGGAAATCTGGAACTTTTTTCTTTTGAAGAGGAGATCACACCAGTAGGCTAAACTTCAAATAGGAATTCCCGTCTTTAAAAGTAAGGAAGATCTCAATCTGCTCGAAATGTGTTCGCTTTAAGAGTACCGCACTCTGTGGCTCAGTCCAGACCCTGATTACTCTACTACCTTGGGTGTGTGCAGAGAACATTTAGTAAAATCAGTAAAAATATCCGCCTGTGTCATTTCACTTTTCGTAAATTAGTAACGAATTTATCCTCTACAAAGTGTTCTCCAGCCGACGCTCCTTGCGCAGTGCCCGGAGCTTGAGCCGCGCCTCCTCCAGGGGGACCATGATACCCTTGTTTTGGGTCGCAGGATCATCACGGTTGCGAATGTTGACAGTGCGTGACTCCTTCTCCTGGGCACCCACAACAAATATGAAGTTGTACTGGGCCAGCTGGCCAGTGCGGATCTTCTTCTGCAGGGTGTTGCCACTGACGTCCACGTCCACATTCAACTTGTCACCACGCAGGATGCGCTGCAGTTCCTCGGCGTAGTCGTTCAGAGCTGGCATCACCGGCACAATGAGGACCTGGCGTGGACTGATCCAGAACGGCCACTTGCCACCAAAGTGCTCGATCAAAATACCCAGGAACCGCTCAAAGCTACCAATAATAGCACGGTGAATGACAACAGGGCGGGCGCGACCGGGGGGCAGGTCGTCGGACTTGGCCTCGCCCTCACTTGCACCCTCCCCGGTGTTCTTCTCCAGGTTTTCGTTGGTCTGATACTCCAGCTTGAAGTTCAATGGAGCCTGATAGTCCAGCTGGATGGTCGCGCATTGGAATTCACGCTTGAGAGCATCCGCAATAGTGATGTCAATCTTAGGTCCGTAGAAGGCACCGTCACCCTCGTTAATGGTCCAATCGTTACCCTTAAACTTGGTTAAGGCCTTCTTGAGCTGGTCCTCGGCGTGATCCCAGGTCTCCAACGACCCCATGTACTTCTCTGGGCGGGTGGACAGCTTCAAATTGAACGTGAATCCAAACAGCCCATAGATGGACTGCAAGAAATCGAACAGACCCTCTACTTCGGACATAATTTGCGATTTCTGAACGATTATGTGACCATCATCTTGACAGAATCTGCGCACTCTCGTCAATCCGCTAAGTGCCCCGGAAGCCTCGTTGCGGTGCAGGACACCGAAGTCAGCAATGCGCATAGGAAGCTCGCGGTAGCTACGTTCACGGTGGGCGAACAGAGCGAAGTGTCCAGGGCAGTTCATGGGCTTGAGAGCCCACTCGCGCTTCTCGACATCCAACTTGAACATATCATCCTTGTAGTGGGCCCAGTGTCCGGAAGTCTTCCAGATGCTAACGTCGTACATGTTAGGGGTCTGAACCTCTTGGTAGCCGCGCTTGCGGTATTCAGAACGTAGAAGAGACTGAATCTGGTTCAAGATCTTGGTTCCGTTGGGGAGAAGGAATGGGCAGCCGGGAGACACCTCATCGAAGAAGAAAAGCTCTTGCTCCTTACCAATTTTCAGGTGGTTCCGCTTCTCGGCTTCCTCTAAAAACTTCAAGTGCTCAGCCATCTGCTTCTTGTCGGGGAAGGCAACACCACGAATACGCTGCAGAGAGTCGTTGGACTGATCGCCAAGGAAGTAGGCCGATGAGTTCTAGGAGTAAAAGTTAGTATGTGTCTTCCTCGGCCGAGAGGTCGATCAATCACGCTTACCTGCATGATCTTGAAGGTCTTGATTTTGCCGGTGTTCTGGATGTGAGGGCCTCGGCAGAGATCAACAAGAGTACCGCAACGGTAAACGGTGCTACTCTCGCCGGTGACAAGCTTGTCGATATAGTGTAGCTTATATTTGCTGTATGCGAACATCTTCTTGAGATTCTCTTTGGAAACCTCCAACCGGTCGAAGCTTTGCTTCTCCTTGAAGATACGTGCCGCCTTGGTGTCAAGCGCCTTCCAGTCAGTCTCACGGACAACGCGTCTATTTTTCCACATATATCATTAGCATTGACACAATGGTTGACGGTCGATGAGAAGAATAACATACCCGTCGGGCATGGCCATATCATAGAAGAAGCCTTGATTTGTAGGAGGGCCGTGTGAGAGCAGACAGTGGTACTCATTTTCGCACGCCTCGCCCAGAGTGTGAGCACTGGAGTGCCAGAATACCTCACGGGCCTCGGGGTTGCTAAATGGCACAAGGAGCACATTACAGTCCTTCTCCAGAGGCCGGTTCAAATCCCACAACTCTCCATCAACCTTGGAGATAACAATTTCAGCGCTGAGATCCTTGGGCACATCACGCAGGAAAGATCCAGGAGTGGTCTCGAAGGCTTTGGCGGGGAACGAGGAGGGGGGGTTGCCGTCGCCTATGTCAAGGGTGACGGTGATCTCTGGGTGGGGACGGTTCTTGGTCTCCTCAAGATGCTGTTGCCAAAGTTCCTCGAAGAGATTGTTTCGCTCAATCATGAATTCTGGGAGGGTATCGGGGCTCGCGGCCTGCTTGGATTTCGCTTTCGCATCTTTTTGGGGGGCACTGGCAGCTTCAGAGGCGTTCTTAGTCTGCGCTTCAGCAGCAGGCCGCACAGGCAAATCCTGGGGAGTTTCAGATGCCATTTTTTAAACCCTTGGGGGGATGACACAAGGGAATTGGACCGTGAGCAAAAACTCTGATCGTGGTATACTTCTCGTGGAGGGGGAAATGACTCTTCGTGAGGGCGGTGTATTTGAGGTCACGTGTTGGTACTGCCCTTAGCCGACACTTTACCGCTTCAAGTTTCCACCAAGCGAAAACTTCTCCAGCTTTGTCAAGTCAATCACCCTTATCACCACAAAATGTCTTTCCGTGGTCGTGGTAACGCTTCTGGTGCCAACCGGGGAGGTTTCGGTGGTGGCCGTGGTGGTGAGGATTTTCTACTGTGAATGCGATGCGAGAATTTCAAAGGAGCTAACGAAATTTTTTTTATTTTAGGTCGCGGAGGCTTCCAGCAGTCGTTCGGGCCTCCAGCCCAGGTTCTAGGTAATCAATTTTCTGAGCCTAACTTTAATTTATTCATGTCACTGATAAGTTGATAGAGTTGGGTTCCGTGATGCACTCTTGCGAGGGTGAGATGGTCTGCGAATCGGTCAACCCCAAGATTCCTTACTTCAACGCTCCTATCTACCTGGAGAACAAGGTACGTCAATGGTCGACGAAACCTATTTTACATACAAGTTCATGAGCTAAATGGTTTAAAAGACTCAAATCGGCAAAGTCGACGAAATTCTCGGTCCCATTAACCAGGTCTACTTCACCGTCAAGCCACAAGATGGCATTGTCGCCAGTTCTTTCAAGGCTGGTGATAAGGTCTACATTGGTGGAGATAAGCTGCTCCCACTCGAGAAGTAAGATTCACTTTTCTACTCATTCTTCTACACACTCTGACTAACTCACCTCTTAGGTTCCTCCCCAAGCCCAAGCCTCCCCCAGGAGCTCCTAAGCCCAAGCGCGCCGGTGGTGCTCCTCGTGGCCGTGGTGGATTCGGTGCTCCCCGTGGTCGCGGTGGATTCGGTGCCCGCGGCGGTGCTCCTCGTGGCCGTGGTGGCTTCGGGGGTGGTCGTGGTGGCAGTGGTGGTTTCTCCCGCGGCGGTGGTGGCTTTTCTCGTGGAGGTGGTCGCGGTGCCCCCCGTGGTGGTGGTGGCTTCCGTGGTCGCGGCTATTGATCAATCCAATGTACTGTCTCTTTATGGCGTTTTGGGGGATCTGGGAGCTTTTTCAGGAATATCTTTCCGTCTTCTTGTGCATCCTGCGCAATTGCAACTTCACTGGCTGCAGGCTGTAGAATATCACCAGTCAAAAATGTTTCTGTTGTTTTCATTGGGGTTTCCAGGACTTGCAATTTTGTATAAATCATAGCAACTCAAGTAGAAATTCGGGGATAGTCGGCTCGACGGACATTTGGTTGGATGTGGCTGGTGAATGTGGCGCAGCTGCACCGCCCCCGCCTGTTCGAAATGACGTTGACCGCTCTGCGAATCTGTGCGTCCGTCAACACTCCCAAGCAGGTTTGACTGCAATTTTATTCTTCTTACCCAATCCTGCCCTTTAGGCGTCTTGTTGAGACATTTTATCCTTTTTTGCCATAAATTTTCTTTGAATCTGATATCCATTTGAGCATGTCTCGTCGGACATCGACCATGGCATCGAGTAATTCCTTCAGCGGCGTCCCACCTTCAGGTGATGGAGGTGCGTTTGAGCTCCCTCTGGTCGCCCATTGGCGACATGGCTGACGTTTTCCAGGCCAGGAGAAGCAGAAAATGCTTCTTTCCTCGGATCATGGTCATTTTAGCATGGTGAAGTCAGTAATGTGCTTCCCGCGCGCGTTCGCCCTCGGCTCAGTCTAACACTCAACAGGGCCATGCATCTTGCTGATCTGATCACTGAATTGAATGGTTAGTGATCGCAATCCATTCGGGGTTTGCTTGAATTGACTTATTAAATCCTTGTTTTAGGTTTCTGTGGAGGCAAGCTCATATTTCCCAACCGTTTCTCCAATCCGCGACTAATATGTTCAGCAGTCATGTCGGTCTTTTCCTCCATGCGCTACTGCCTCGGAGACCCAACTGAATACGGTGCCATCTGGGCTGCTCTCGCATTCATGCCTTTTGGTCTGTTCTTCGACTTTATGGATGGCAAAGTCGCAAGGTGGCGCAAGAAGTCGTCTCTCATGGGACAAGAACTCGACTCGCTTGCGGACTTGGTAACAATCCCGGCAAGTAACCACAACCAAGTTGTCGCTTACACTTTTATTCCAACTAGATCTCCTTCGGTCTCGCTCCCGCCGCCGCCGCATTCGCTCTAGGTATCCGGACCTCGGCTGATCACGTCTTCCTCACATTCTTTGTTCTCTGCGGTCTGACCCGCCTCGCTCGGTTCAACGTGACTGTAGCCGTACTGCCCAAGGACAAGTCTGGGAAATCCAAGTACTTCGAAGGCACACCCATTCCGACTACTCTATCAATCGCTTCCCTTATGGCCTATTGGGTCTCTCAAAGCTGGACGCACGACAACATTCCTCTTGGTCTTGTCGCAGAAGGTACCATCTTCGAATTCCACCCCGTGGTCCTGTTGTTCGTTCTGCATGGATGTATGATGGTCAGCAAGACGATACACATTCCTAAGCCCTGAGCTCAACCCCTACTCGGCCGTGCACTCACAGTTGGAAAAAAATGCTTGAGTCTGTTGTCTCTTTCAACTTGGACGACTGAAGATAAATATCGAGAGGGCCTTCGTTTGTAGGCAACGCATAGCATGATCTCGATGCACTTAAATAAGGTTGCTTAATTGAATTTCAATTGCATAGATTGACTACAGTCAATGTGACTTCTGCGTAGGGGTTGGATTGACTGTGGCCAGCAAGGTCAACATGTTGATGTTGTAGCTTTCGGCAACAGCGCAATTGTCCGCAATCCTGGGCATTCAACCAAGTGAGCTGAAGGTCCTCTATCAACTTTGACAGCACGCAATTGCACACACAATGCTGACCACTTTCATAATATCATAAGCGGCCTTGCCATGTCTTTTTAGCAGTCGCCTTAAATGGTCTTTTGGGGGTTAACCTGTTTTGAATGGTGTTTTTGTATGTATTTGAGGATCTCTGCTGAGGATTTTTGCAAACACAAGCCAAGATGGCCACATAGCTTTGGATGCTCCACCAACCTTCGTCTGCTTTAATTTTCTCCAGACCAAACACTTCGCCGTACCTACATATGTAGTTATTTGATCAAACTCATCGCCGCAGTTGTTCTGATCACGTTGGGACACCTGCGACGCCTCGAATGGCACGACGATGGCATAAGACGGGTTGTAACGACAACATCCCAAATGACAAAGCAGGCCGCCCGCACTCCGGCTGCTGCCCATTTAATAAATTCATCCGCTTCGTTGACTAACGCGGCATGAGCTCTGCTAACCTATGGCGCGTTTGCGGTCGGTACTCTCAAAGGCAGATATGATATCAGGTGCTGGGAAGCTGGTCCCACGTGGCCTACATTATCTCAGTGCTTGGGGGGCATATCAACTCGACGAGCTGATGTTGGACAGTGGCTATTAACGTCTCATTCTTGATCATTTGATGTACATTTGCATAGCACTTTCCCTACTCTGAAGCTTGGAGCTTGGCCTTGGTTTTGCGATTGTATCTTGTTAGACAACACCGGTTTCTAATCTCTCGGGATTCTTTGCTAGCTGGATAAACGAACCGTGGTGGTGGTCTTCGAGAATGAATGATCATGGTCATCTTATTCTTCTTGTAGGATCTTGAGAGTTCCTGACAGTTCCTCGTCTCCGATTGTGTCTGTATGCGTGCCTTTTTTTCATCCGTAGGGAGGAAACCGACGATTGGACTCCGGGGCGAGTTGTATTGGACCCGTCGATATCCAAGTGCTATATATTCAATGTCATCATTCATGGGTGGTTGGAAGTTGATCCACGGAAATTATGATACTACAGACACACATATACACACACACACGCAATACTGACCTATAAGGATCGTCATAATTGTAGTCCCTGATGGACATTAGGCCGAATTTATATGCCGCTGCAATGCCGCTGCAATGATAAATAGATGATAAATAGATGTTCTATTTATCCTATTTGTCCTGATGATCTTTTAGCCTAGCGGTTAAATGGTCTTATGAAATCTATCAGGAGCAGCGGCCTGATTTATCTTCGGGATTACAGTGAGGGGTGTTAGAAGTCATATGACTTCCATGTTTGCTCCCAGTACTTGGTCTAGCTAGCCTGTAGATAGCTTCTCTCTTTTACCACGCATCCAGAGATTTCTAGTTTTCATCTACAGCTTCATTTGTAGACTGAATACCATCTCTCTCATTACCATTTGGTTAGGTATCTCACAGCCCCCAGAGCTGTGAACGAGGACTTCAATACGACAACAAACTATTCAGTTGAATACAGAGAATCTAAACCAAAGGCAAGTTTACACAGAAAGCTTTATCACCCGCTCACAAGATCGCATCTAAGCCAACGACTACAGTGGACCAAGCTTATCCCAACTACAGCAATGACCATCACCAGACTCAATCCCCCAAGATGCCCTGAATGCTATGAAGATGGTATGAGACAGAAAGTCAGGGAGAGCAACCGGAATGGCAATGCAGGCCGCCCATATTATAAATGCTACCCATGTAACCGATTTATCTGCTTTGCTGATCAACGTGGGATAAGTCCGACCAACCCGCTCTGCCACTGCGGCGAGTACAGTCGTAGGCAGATTTCGGGGACTTCAAATGAGGTACCATATGGTATTCATTATGTTTGTGCTCGTGGATGGTGTCGCTTCTACGAGGAGGAAGTGAATCAGGATGGTACGCAGCGACAGGTTCCTGCTGGGTTGGTGGGGAAATATGCAAGGTGCTCGTATATCTGAGGCCCGATACTTCTCGTATAAACTGGTTTTTTTTTCAATCCAGTTTGTGTTGAGATTGCGTATAATTAAAGACCTTAATTTTCTCCCCCCCCCCCCCTCTGTGCGCGTGTAATTCCACGTATTTAATTTTGAGCGTGTTGAGGTTTACGGTGACTTCTCTGGATGAAAATCTGGATGGGGGATTTGCTCGGCTATGGATCGTGGGACCCCCAACGGGATGATTGAGGTATCGAGCCCTTCCGCATCTATGTTGTACTTCGGAGAAGATGGCAGATTAGAATAGTCGAAGGTCATAGGTCAAATCGGAATTTTTAATTTAAAATTAGACCATTGTGTTTTGGCCAGGAGGGTCTAGACCCAGTCGCAATTTTCACTTTTCACAAAATCCGACTTCGAAAACTCTCCTTGTCCACAATTTGAACAATATGAACCAGTGTTCTCATCGAGACATCTGAAGAAGTACGAGTCTGGCAAATTCAACCTTTTGTTTCTCCTTCGTTTTGGATTCCTATCGTGCACTCCGTACCTAGATTACTTTGGCAGGTGGAAAATACAACTGGTCTATTAGACGCCGCTGGTCCCGGAAAAGTTGTGTCCAGGCCAGAAAACCGGCTGGACAGGTCTAGGCGCTGGGTTTGTTGAGGAAATACTCCGTACGGTGTACGAGTACGGAAACGCAGTACAAATCTGTATTGCCTGTGCATACTCCGTACTGCCCAGGTGTTTTTTTTAGAGGCTCTGGGTGAGTAAGACACGGATGTCAAGCCTAACTACGGAGTTGAAGGAGCAAAACGTCTCACTGTTGAAAGATCGCTCTTCTTTGAGCGTTTATTATCTGCTCCATGGGGTCTATGGCCAGAAGCGCCTTTAGAAGGGAACCAGGTCGATGACTTTGAGTCAGCTATCATCGTTGAAAGTGGTGTCGGTGGCGAGATGCTTAACAGCGCAGACAGGTGTAATGGTCCTTTGAAATGAGAATTTTATTAAACCGTCTAGCCATAACCAGAGCAATGGGATTTCTGGCCCAGAACAGGTTGCAAGGGACTAGATTTGCAAGGTACAGCCGATATGTTGAACGTTGTACAACATATACGGAGGACACAATAGCCATCCGTGGCGCATTCCGCCGCACCGTGACTAACAACCTTATCTATCCATTTTCAAAGGGTCTACAAGTGTCCCCCAGCCAGTAAATCTTACATGATGGTAACGTGATTAGGATACATAACCTCCGATATATCCAGGGGTGTGTATGAGAACACGTCAGGATGCAAGGCTAATAATACCACATTCTATTATGGAGTCGAGGGACGAACAAAACGCTTCCAGCACGTAAGCCCCCAAAGGCCCAAGGTACCGAGTACAACATGCGTGTCATTGGTAGAGCCATTTATGGAGTATGTTGTATAGATTTGCACATCCCAGGTAGCTCTTGGGCCACAGTTCCCGATTTTACAGAGCCCAAATCTCCTCATGGATATGCCATGCCCCGTGGCTGAGCGTACAGTACAATATAGAACCTCCGAAGGATTGGGCGGTATCGTGTGCCTCTACGTAGAAAGCGGTATGCGAAAGTACCGAAGTGCCGCCGCCTAATACTTCGGAGGTCCTACTGTACGGAGTCCATGGTAGGGCGTTGTTTCGTTACAGGGGACGCTGTATCGGAGGGGAAAGAACATGATAATTTGGTACGCTCCACCCGGAATCAGCCGCTCATTGCCTGTGGAAATTATTGAGACAGTACATGGAAAAGGGGCATAAATAGGGATAAAGAAGAAAAAACCGGCGAGGTTTAGTACAAGGTGTAACTATAAAGCATTTGAAAATGCTAGATGGTAGTCAAATCCTTAAGGCTTCGTGTTATACGGAGCACTCCGTATCGAATCTGAAGATTCTTAGCGCTTTTACGGAGTATTGAAATTGACTCTAGGACACGACAAAATTTGGTTGGCGTATGTTGATCGGTCATTTATACGGAATGCAACAGAGCAAATCAAAATATAGAAGCAGACGGAACAAAGCTTCCTTGGCCGAAGGCTAATTAATGTACGGAATAACTGCGTAGAGTGTTGAACAACATTTGAGGGGTAAAACACGTCGTCATCCAGGGTCTTTTTCATGTGGCAAGGATGATCTTTCACAAGTCCTTGCCCTGTATGGAGTGATATCTAAAAAAAAAAGGTACTATGCAAAATGTTGGATATTAAATCATCAGACGAGGCTCACACAAAGAAAGTCTCATACCTAATCACCGCGCAGCGCTCGAAGCAGACTAGCGACATGCCCAAAGGCTCCATTCAGCTGCCGGTTCGGACCAAAATAGGAAATTGATCTACAAAGGTCCACTGGCTTACCTAAGTGGGTGCCTGACTATCTAAATGTATCTCGACGTTTCATTGGAGGTTTGGTTGTTTGCATACCTAGTACTGTACCATACAAGGAGCAAACAAAACTGAAACCACTTGTGTAACCTGCACTGAAAGTACCTGGTACTCCATTGCACCAAGGCCCTCCCCCCATGTTCCAAGTATCTCATACCTTCTCCGGGGAACACAGACCCCTTTACAGACCCTTTCCCAAGGGATCCATTTTCCGTCACTACTCTTCCCTCCTGATCTTTCCATCTCCCTTTTGCACACATTCGTTAACACTCCGATTTCTTCGTTCCTTTACTCCATTTATTTGGAGATTATCAACCATACTACTATTCAGTTCACGGTCGCTCACTCTCTCCCGAACTTGTAGGGTGAACCGTTACCCGACCACCTACTCCCGGTACCTATCAACACAACGCGAAATCACCTCCCTTTCACTCGACTTGCCGACCACCAAAATATCTTGACTTCCTCGTTAAACACACCCTGAGTGTCTAGCCAACCAGATACGTGGTGGCCAGTTTGAGAACAAACGTCGTCTCCTAGTGTCCAGCTGGAAAAAAAAAGTTCTTGAGGGTTACGCCGGCCGTCCCCAGTCCTTCGTCAATCACCCCTGTGCTTTTGTCCAGCGGTGTTTACATTGCACGCTGATTTTGATACCCGACTTTCCTACTCTCGAAATACATCATGCTTTTCAACACTCAAGGTGCCCTTGCTTTGTCAAGTGTGTTCCTGGCAGCCACCTCGGCAATTGCAGAAGACTTGGAGTTGTTTCCTCGTGGCTCACCATTAGGGACACTCCGGGGCTGCTACTCCAGCATTCCTGGATATGGAAAGCCAACGAGCTGGACGTACCAGAGTTCCGGATGGTGTCTGGATCACTGTGCCAGGGACTTCGCGACATTTGCCTTGACAAAAGGCACTGACTGTGTGTGCGGTAATACGCTACCACCAGACAGTGCCAAGGCTTCAAGCGACAAATGCAGCACATCGTGCAGTGGCTGGCCCGATGATATGTGTATGTCTTTCATCCCTTAGCCATCGGTTTCGGACAAGTGACTTGCTAACGATATATTCGAATAGGCGGTAGTTCCAACTACTTCTCGGTCTATACCACAAATTTGATAGCCAACGTGCCCACGTACTCCGACCCTAATTCGAACTCCAACTCCAACTCCAACTCCAACTCCAACACGAATTCCAACTCTAATTCCAACTCTAACCCTAACTCCGACTCCAACTCCAAACCTACCACAACCCCAACTCAAAGCACTAGTGACAGCCAAACTACGATGCAAGCTGGCGAGTCTGCCACGAGTACTGCTACCAGTATCGGTGAAACAATAACAGAGACCGCGATTTATCAGCCCGCCCCGAGCAGTGAGTCTGAAGAAGATTTCGAAAAAAAGTCCTCGAGGAGCAAGAAAACTGCCGCGATTGCGGCTGGAGTCGTAATCGGAGTGGTTGGATTCGCTGCTCTCTGCGCTGCTATCTTCTTCTGGTGGCGAATCAAGAACAATAGGACCGGTGCTGCAGCTAGGGCCACTGGCTATGGCTGTGATGGCCCACCCTCGATGTCCGATTCTCGGTTCGATAGCGACTACATGACTCAAAATCGTCAAAGCAATGGCAGCATCGATTATGACCATGACTTCTCTCGCCGGATCTTGCAGGTAAACACGCGCAACACTTGATAACGTTGTTTCCAAGCTAACTTTTGATGGAGGTGACGAACCCCGATCGCTAAACTCATACACCTTTTTCGAACCATTCATGCTCCCTCCCTTTCTTCTCTCCGCTCGGTATTAGCGAAATTCATGTCATTCCTGCCCTCGATCGAATTACTTTATGAGAGCCTTCCTGTCTTGTTGCCATTATTTTTTTCTGTCGGGTTATTCAGCGGAGTTGTGATATCCGAACGGCGTGGCGGCTTGACCCGAGTCGGTATCCCCAGCCGGTGGTCTGCTGCCTTTTCGGCCCTCTGTCTCTGACAGCGTTGGTTTGCTTCTCGATCAACACCTCTAGAGTCTACATTGGGAAATCAACCGTACCGCCAGCCTTCTCTGCCAAAGCCCCAACCAATGAATCTTGTTCAATCAAAGTAAAGTCTCGGCTGACATAGGGACGTTGTGATCGGAAAGGCATCTCTTTCTATCTTGGCCCTATCAATGCTCGACATTTTCCTTTTTTTTTATGAACAGATCATTCCTTTTATGTGATTCCCTTTTTTACCTTTTTTTTCCCTTTCGTGGTCTCTTTCCCTGTTTCCAGTCAGGCCTTTGCCCATCGGTCCCATCGTGAGCTTCTCGCGTTCTGCAACTCGCTCTGATTTGGTCTAGTTCCGCGACGGGTGACTTTGACAGGCGAGATCAATCACCTGTACTTGATGTGAGAATTGATATGCATATCAGCCTGTGTTTAATTACTTGTAAACTATTTTGATGGCGGTTTGGCTGGTCAGTGCCGGGTCTGCGTTGTACGCCCAGAGTCGGTAGTTAGTATGTATCTGTTCGAAGTAGCTGACATTTCTGGGTGGGCTTGACTCTGTCTTAAAGAAGCATGCACGGTTTTTGCTATTTACTGCCTCGGTAGATATTTGAAAATTCACCTATTAAAGAACCGTCAAAGCCACATCGGTGTGTTCTTACACATAGCCAGTTACAGTCAACTGTGTGTTGAACCTTCGGCCATCTCCCGAAGTCTTCTGCAGTCAAGGAACTACGTACGTCGTTTCCACACTCGAGTTTGTATATGAGCAAAGAAGCAATGCAGGGTGCCTGAGAAGCTATTACAACGTATAAGAAAAGGAAGTAAACCCTTCCAACTGATTCAGTCTGAGAGCTCAGTATTCAGACACGAGTCTCCAAAATCCATGCCATACCACACATAAGGTAGAGAACCGTTGCGTGGGAAAGACTACTGTGGGAAGCAGAAATGGACGCCATGAGTTCTTGAAGATCACCCGAGACGAGAACGTCAGAAGAGAATGACACGACAACACCATCTCGTACATCCAAGCCAGGGACGGTCAAGGGGAATGTCGCCAACATAGCGGCGTACCAGGTGGCGATGTAGGTTTCGCTGTGATCACGCTCGTCTCGGATCAACTCCTCGATGACTTGCTTGTACGAAGAGACTGAGAGGTAGCCAAGACAGACCAATATCAGAATCGGCGTTTGTCTCTGCCGGAACAGGGCCTGCTGCAGCACTTTCCACAGATATGATGGAAGAAGAGAAGAAAGGGTTCTAATAGACATGTCCTAATACGTTGCTCAAGTTGAATCTATCAACCACCATGAAGACCCTTTGCATGCTTCCTGGGGACAAAGAGAAGTCTGTCAAACTGGAAGCAAGCAAGCAGGGCCTGTGCGGATGCCTGAGTGCATCAAGTTCAAAGGGTGGGAAGAAGGCACAACAGGATAGTGGTGTAATGAAGCTCCCGGTCTCGACGAGATAAAACGAAGGCATATTAAACAACCAACACCACTCAGACACAGTATGCAAAACCAAGATCGATATTGATCTCGTTCTGTCTCCGGAAAAATGGAATCGAACGCTCGTTCCAACGGCATGACGCGACCCTTCCAAGCAAAATGAGGTTATTACTAGCACTCGAGAGATGAACGGGGTATCAGAGCTTCAAAGGGCATTCCCGACTTTGAAAGTCTATGACTCTTGGGCTAGAAACCTTTGAGCATGCATCCAACATCCAGTCCGGTCTCCGTCGTTCGACCCAACCACCAAATCCAGACCAGAGGACACTCTCCAACTACCTTGTGCTGATGCCTAGTATCCCAGCCCCTCTTTTTCCACGATATCAGGAAAGAGAAAGACACAGCCTTCAAAGAAAGCCCCATGGATCACGACTGCCAGCTGGCTAGCCGCAATCCCAGCGAACTAACCATGTCACAACCGCCAACCCCTCCCCGATAGGACTTGCACGTCGAGATCGACGGCCCAAGTCGATCAACGACAGACCCAACAGCGGCTAGACGGACTTAAACCGGACTTGACCCGGACTTGACAGCTACATGGCCCCGAACAACGCTAATTTAGCGATGATCTAGACCTGCAAGAGAGAGAAAAGAGAAGGAAGGATGCCATGCTAGTTTGGCTAGCTTACCACTAATGAGTCAGATGTGTTGATTTAAAAATCCTGATCGAGTTTCCTGTTTTGCGACGATATGGGACATGGGCTCGTTAGAACAGGTCGGTGTTTCCGGAGAAAAATGCCGATATGTCCGGAAAATTAAGTGAACAGGCGCCGATCAATGTACAATTTAAAAGATCGTTGGATTTTCATTGTGCCTCGCATCTCACAGAGGGTTACTGCGTCAAAGGGGACGAAAATACACTACGGAGTAACCATTCCTCATTTCCAGCCCCCCCCCTTCCCCCCCTCTCTTTCCCCAATCGGATAATTGTTATTGTTGGGTACAGGATCATTCCGGCTGCAGAAAAACAAGCCAATAGACATCGCATGCAGCCCAACAGCGTCAACAAGCATAACTAGGCAGATGCATGTTGACGCCTTGAACATCGGTTGCGCACGATGTCATGCGTATGATGATCATCTCTCATTGAGCCGTTAGCTATGCACCTAACCTCGCATCTAGGCAGGGTAGTTCGACGCCGCAGGGATTGAGGCTGTTGGGTGTTGGTTGCAGAAGATCAATTCGTCCGTGAAGCCGAATGGAGGATCCTGCCGTTGACTACTGCAAGATGACGATGTAATGTTCCTTAATTCGCTTTCTAGGGTAGCATCCGAGGGAATCATGCTCGGACCTAGTCTAATTTGCCGGAAGGACTCAAAGGGTATAGCTGGAGTCATCTTAGCGGGCTGCGAGAGAACAGCCTACCTACAACATAAGCAGGTTATGTGAGGGATTTTTAACCTGGGGAGCATTCTGCGACATCAACATCCGTGCAGGGATCTCTGTAAAGGCCCACCGTTTGGGCCATGTGGTCTCAAAAGGCACGGAATCGGAGTGAAAGAATTGGATCAGTCGTATGTCGGAAGATGTGACTCTCCGTATCCATGCGAAGTCCTCCGTAGCCGACAGAACATCCGAAAGGAGTCGGAAGAAGCTACGAACCATGATCCATGTGTGATAGATTCTGTAGATCTACTCCGTAGCTTGCTCCCCCCCCAATACGATGAGATTGCAATGGAGTAAATACATGCCTCCGACGGTGCGTTTACAAGATGGATTCGTTTACATTCTCTGTGAAGACTTCTGATTCCGGTCTACCCCGGGGAGTGGGATTTTCTATCTCGCAATGACATGGCCGAGAAAGAAAAGTATGGGCCTGAGAGGTAGGGTTGAAAATATCCTCATGGTTGGTCGCTTGGTGGGTGTAGAATGACAACACAACTTTTCATAACCGACAAAGATGTAAAAGGGAAATCTTTCGTATTGGTTCTTTGTGTGTTCTAGAATAGCTCTAGGATATCGGATATGGATGTACTGTGATGGGTTTTACCCGATCAGTCCAAGGGCATCTCCCGAGCCGATCGGGAGAATCTCGCACGTCCCCAATTTGCTACTTCGTATGTCGACTATCAATATCGAATATGAAAGGGACGGAGTAGAACGGTTGTACATAAGCATAAAGACCCTAACGACCCCCCCAAATGATCCCAGATCAACTTGAGCATCTTCCTGATCCCAAACTAGGACAGACTTGGTCGCGGATATGGACACGGCAACGGGGATAAAACAGAGTCGCTTATTCCCGTACATGACGGTCACTGCTTTATACGAAGCACAACATACTTTGACTGGGAATGGCTAGTGGCTCAGCGACTGCTGTAGTACCTACATGGTTACGTGCCCTAAATTAGCTCTCATTTCCCTGTTGGTGCAAGCTACGGAGAAGACACATGGGCTTCAGGGACAACGATTCTTGGGACAAATCAGTTCAAGCCTGGAAATCGAGGAAATTAAGCTGTGGGTTGAAATTGATGATGATTTAGTGTGTGTTATCCGTGTCCTTGTTGGACTCGGCCATGGACCCGGGTACAAAGTACCATGCATTGCATTTTCGAAAGGAACCGTTTTTCAATGAAAAAAAAACAAAAAAAACAAAAAAAAACAAAAAAAAAGACAAAGACACTTAGTTGAACTCTTAGGGCAAACACGTGTATATTGTGGAGTACGGATTATTGAGAATGACAATACTCACACTCTACACATCATTTTCTGAGAGACCCGACTTCCATATATGGCATGGGGAGAAGAACTAAATGAAGAACAACGATCATTACCCGATGTAGGAATCGGTATTTGCTCAGGTGAAATCCTTGCAAAAAAATACGGCCACATGGCATGGCCTGATCGACGCTATCTGAAACGTGACCTAAAGGGACTAGGACCTGCAGGGGCGCCATCGGTGCATCCTTGAACAAGGTGCGAACTTGGGAAAAAGCGAGCATTCGTACGGAGTCGAATTAGATGGTGCCGAAGACCTTCCTATAGTAGATATTAGTGATCTTTGTTAACTGATCCAACTTCGGTAACCTGGAGCTCCACTTTTGGAGAGCCCAGACCTCGAGACTCTTTGCCTGATGAGTGATGAGTAAGAAGATTGCTACGATCGGAGTCCACGTGGAGTACTTCCCCAGGAAGCATGGCAGGAAGCACGGGTAGATTCCCTGATGTGGATGGTGTGTTGGAGGTCAGTACTCTGACGATCGACCGAGTATACAACATGGTATGTCATGTACCGTGGCAGGCATCATATCCT